GCCTATATGACAATCCAGCTTCTTTGATATTTATTGACCACGTACACATCACATGTGGATCAAAATATGTATTTCGTTGGATATTTATGGAGTCAGCATGCAGTTCTTGTCTGAAATTAAGAACACCGTTTATTTTGATTTTTAGATCCAGGTAATTTGTTCAATTAAAAAGGACAAAAAGGATAACTGCAGCGAAGATGAGTTTACTCCGGTTTCTCGAACTAAATTGAGGTATGTGTTCATGGAGGATGGAGGAAGGTTTTCAAGATGGCGACAACTTTTCGAGATCGTTAAAACGCGAATGAATTAACAACAAGGCACTTATAATGGCCGTTTTTATACTAGAGACGCATTATGCGTCTGGACGCATAATCCGTCTTCTACATTATTCGTCTAGTATAAAGACGGGACGAATAATACTAGACGAATTATGACGGATTATGCGTCCAGACGAACAAGGGGGAATTTCGTTCTCGACCAATCAGCGCTTTTGTTTACATTTTTGCCCTAAGCCAATCAGAATGCGTAAAACGCTTCATCACATGAAATTTGCAAACAAATATATGGGGTTACCTCAGAGCTCTTCTGCAAGCGGTTTTTTGCTTTTTTGCCATGAAATTCATATATGTTGTTCTTAAAAGAATTCTCCTCAACTTCCTCGTGGCGATTTTTGATTAATTGCGTGATTGCAAAGATATAGGTCTTCAAACTTTGCATTGCGCAAGCTTAAATACCACCCCTCGAATTTGTAGGTTCCGAACGGATTGGCGTTTTTAAAAGCCTTTCAAATGGAGGTTTGAGAGGTTTTATTTTCAAAAAGATACTTTTATCTTCATATTTTCACATTAACTTATTAATATCCTGTGTAACAAGTAAACAGGACACTTCCGGGCCGGCACAAGTTGACATGTCGATTTCTTGCTAAACAGCGTGACAATCAATATGGCGAATATCTAAATACAGGGAATTTTTAAAATTTTGTTGGTATAAATGGGCTAAAGAAACTCATCAAATATTTGGACTATGGAACTTCAAACTTATGGCAAATATTTATTTGGTTGATTAGCTCAATAACCGTTTTTTGGCTCGTTTTTCGTCGATTTCAACGTTTGGTCGACTTCAGAATAATGTGTCAACATCGCGTGTTGCAGCCTGTGGACATGAATATTTTCGTTTGTTTGACCATAACACTTGTCGTATTGTTTTGAATCCTTGAATGACAATATATTACTGGTCTCAGAGTCCTAAACTTAAGTCCTAAAAAAATGGATGACTTTGGGACAGATATCAACACTTTGTTCAGATATCAAAATTTATGGACATTTTGGACATATATAGTCACTCATGGCATATATATAGCCATAGGACCCTCATTGTTTCTTCCTTAATCTGGCACACTAGTCACAAATGGGGCCTGTTCTTATGACCTGGCTAGGCAGGAGACAACATTTGCCAGTAATGCCGACATAATATCCTGCTACAGTGCTACTATACTATTCTGGCCTATTTTATTAACTGTGTTCTGGCTAAGGACGAGGTATCCACTGCCAGAATCCCAACTATGCAAGCCAAGAAATTCACCATTCACATGCAGTAAACATTCTATCCCACAACCAGGCAACATGAACTTGCCTTTAGGGTCCCATGCTGCCTAGCCCAGATCATATATCCAGACCCTTAGCAGATCCTGAAACTACAATTGCAACATTTTAGGCCATTATCTTGTAGAATCAAGCAGGTATTGTCATGCAGTAGTATAATATCACACCAGGCAAGCTGGTCTTGCCCATTTATATGGGCTTAATATACACCTGCCCATGGTAAGATACTGACTCGTATATTAATTTTATATATGTTTGCATGAGATTGCATTCACATGAAACAGCCTGGTTGAATTATAATTTATTGGCCCAGCATCTGCTTGAGCAAGTTGATATCCTGCATTGGGAGTCTCGCACTAATAAAGGTCACATGCTGGCCAATGCAACCAGCTCACACAACTAAAAATGATGTTATAATACACAATTTGGCCCAGGTAAGTAAGAAATTGATTAGTATAAGCCTTCTGAAGCTGTTGTCATTAAGAAATCAACCAGAATTTCACACAATTAAATTTCTTGTCAACACTTGCCAGGTTAGCCTGGCTCCTGTGAGGCAAATGAAAAACTAGCCCTGAAAAGAAAATCCAGCCAAGTTTGCTGGGCTAGCATGGCCCATTATGACAGCCTTTAACAGGGAAAGCTTATTTTTGGAAGGGAGATCTGATTTTTGGAAGGGAGATCTGATTTTTGGAATGGAGGCCTATTTGTGAGGTCGCTGGGGGCTTAATTTTGGATTGCATTATTATATAATATGTGTAAAATATTCATTTGTGCACAGGTATTCTGGTCATGCACAAATTTATGGACTAAAAGGTTTCAATTATAGTCTCGGGATCTATTGGGGACCTGTTTATATGATCTAGCTAGGCTATCCAGAACACATGCTTGAAGCCTATCATGTTGACTGTTAGGGATACTGTGCTTAATATTGTATATGGTGAATTCCTTGGCTTACATATAGCCAGGATTCTGGCAATGGAAACCTCATGCTTAGCCAGGCCAATAGTAGCAGGATAGGATGGGACATACTGGCCAATGTCGTCTCCCACCTAGCCAGGTAATATGAACAGGGCCCAATTGTGACTAGTCAGACAGATGAAGTAAAAACAATGAAGTTCATATATGTCCATAAATTTTGATACCTGAACAGCAACATTGAACAAAATCATTCTGTCCCAATGTTATCCATCTTCCTCATCTTCCTTAAGTTTAGGACTCTGAGACCAATGAGTATATTGTCATTCAAGGATTCAAAACAATAAGACAAGCGTTATG